TTTATGTTTCTGTATAATCTATTCACTTATCATTTATATATACTTTATTTTAAAATTGTACACTACAAAAATAGTACTAGTGTAGTACTCTCTTATTCTAACACAACCTTGTATTAAGTGTATCTTAAAGATTCAAATTTGACACATGAAATTTATTAGTTTTATCTCTAAAAGAGTGTTTTATTTGGTAGATTAAATTACATAAATATGTTCATCCACGTTTCCAAACAGTATAGTCAGCAATACCCAATGTCATATATATTCATATTTTTATATATATTCATATATATACTTACGTGCATGTGTATATATATATGTATGTATGTATGTACATATCTTTGGTTAATACCCCAAATGAGTAATCTGTATAGCTTATCTTAGGTTTTATTCAGTGGATACAATCTGCTGGAGAAATTGAAATGCAAAATTTTAGATTTATTACGTATATCTTTTGATATTTTTTTTTAATTCTTTAATATTCCCATTTATTTTTCTTAAACTGTGTTCTCTTAAATAAGATGGAAATGCCATTAGGTGATAATATAGTTTCACTATGCATACTGTCTTAGTATAACTAACTCCAAAAAATACGAGATGATTTTTCTGAAATGTAAATACTGAAAATACTGTAGGCAGAGACTGAGTATTCACGGTTTCTGCACAGAACTGCTCCCTGCTGGTGACTGGATCTGCAGGGGTGTCACACCACCTCAGCAGGTGCACTGGCAGAGATGCGGATGAGATCGTTGCAACGTGGGTGATACTTGAGGATGCGCGTCTTGTATTTTCACTTGAGGAAAAACGTGGTTTTGTATGTTTGTAGAGAGGAGGCAGGTTCACACAGAACGTTAACTCAGGGTAATTTTTCTGCTGTGTTTTAGGAGGCTGGTAGACTGTCAATACCATACATAACAGAGGAATGTCTGAAAAAGTTGGATACAAAACAGCAGACCAACACCCTGTTGAACCTGGTGTGGAGGGACTCCGCCAGCGAGGACGTCTTCACCGTGATGGCCTCCATCTGCCACACACTCATGGTGCAGCATCGCATGATGGTGCCCAAAGTCAGGCGAGTCTGCCCGGGGGTGACGGGACCCACGGCGACATGTGCTTGCCTCCCTGTGACTCCCCGTGGTCTTCGTTTGGACCCCTTTTATCTGCTATTTTCTGATAGAACGTGATGCAGAGTATTCTGTCCAAGCATTTCATAGAAAACGAAAGTTTATTTTTCTTTTCT